CAACCTTGATGATTCTATGATACTGACACATCCATATGTATAACAAATGGCTGCACAAAATAAAATTCAGAATGCTATAACTTTGGATGGGGTGACTCTGTTGCTCAAGTGATCTACAAATTAAGCAGACTATCCCAAAGCAATGCTGATACCCACAGAACAGTTTTATCAACAACATATAGGAAAGTTTTGGCGTGGTCTTAAAAGTTGGCCTGGAAGTATTTCATGTTCTTCTTACAAGGAACTATTTTGAGTTAAATTGTAGAAGACTGGAAGAATGAAACAATCCATGCATAAGAAATTACTACAGCTTAATCTAGACATAAGGCAGTCAGTACATTAAATGGCTCACTCCCCCTCTCAGAATTTGACTCAGTATCATTTGAATTTTGGGGCAAAACCGAAATATCTCTACTGAATAGTAGTTAAAAAGAAAGGCTTTTAGAGGACCTGTTAGTTTTGTAGAATATCAACTATTATAAATACTAATATATGGCTTTTCGTATTGTGAAGGACTTCACATTTGGAGTTGAAACAAAACCTCTCAAAGTTGCAGTTGTAGCCGTAGGACAACTATTCACCAGAGATGGATGCTTCACAGGTGATGTGGAATCAGCATTTCAAGGGAACTTGTTAAGTTTCTCCAGTCAAAACAGGTACACTTCACTCTTCTGATTGCAATTTATGTACAATACCACATGACCATCCAAATGACAGCCGTAGAATGCATAGTGCCTGACCCAGATAATTTGAGGTTTCCCTGCCTTTAAGAACAGAAGAAAAGAAGGCAAGAGGGCCTCCCTTCACCCATCACTTGCCTGTTGTAAGGCACTGATACCCCACATGCAATAAGGCCAACACCAAATTAATACTCTCACATAGCTCCTCTAAAGGAAATACAGTCACAGTGAGAGATTGACTTAAGTATGCTAGGGAGTTGAGGAGAAACACAAAGTAATCAAGAAAAGATGTTGGTAAAAGGAAAGAGCCCAACAAATGTGAGAAAAGCCTTCCTATTCCTCCAGAGACATGGACTATGAAATCACAGAATGTTTTCCCCCCCCCCCAAAGAGCTGTTTCAGGCTGCTTGTATCAGAATAAGTATACAGATCGGCCAATTTATTTTTTTTTTCCTATTAGCATTTGCCATTTTCCCCTCACTGCACTCATGTCATCACCAGATTTCAGCTTCTGCCTCACTTAACAGAATAAACCCAAAGTAGTTCTCTAACACTTTTGTTTTGTTTAAACACTGTCTCCTTCAGCTTCAGGATCTGGCTTTTGATTGGAACCCAGGAAACATTAAAAACCCATCTACTAGGAAATTCAAAACTGTGTGGATAATCACAGTTTGAAGATGCCAGTCATGAGTTACTGCACTGTTCTGGATAATATTTCTGCCATCTCAGATGATGATACTTTTTGCATACCTTTCAGCTCATTGCATCACCTGCAAGCCAGTCTGTCTCACTAGTAAAGCTTGCTGTTCAGCAATAATCATTCACAAATATATAAGGAGTCTCTGATACTGCGTCCATCCATGCACAATCATACCATCTTAGGTAACATGGCAACACAGCACTTAGATAATTAACTATGCCTAAAACTATCCTTCTTACAGAAGATTAGATCTATAAAATTAATGAATTCTGCTTGCTTCCAGACAGTTCATGCAAGCAGTAGGAGAAAATAACCTGCTTTGCTGCCCATGTCATTTCAGAAAGACCAGATTTATGCATATGATCACACCACCAGTGACAGCTCTTAGCATTGCCAACTGCAAGTCTCGTTCATTTCAGTAGGACTGACAGATGCTCAGCTTTACTGAAAGTCTGTCAATACTGTTTTCCTACCTCTGGTACCTGCTCATGACATCTCATGACAGAATCTGTTCTAGAGGGTAGGATGGTCTGCAAGGTGGGGACTGGAAAAATATTTCTAAAATCTTCCCAGTTATTTTGTAATGCCATTGTTAAAGGAGTGTGAAAGCTCCAGAGTGACCTTAACTCTTCTACACTTGTTTTTGACTCCTCTTTTCCTATCCCCACCCACCTACATTAGTCAGGCACTTATTTTTAGATAAAGAACAGATAGGCAGAACAATCCATTTCAGGGGAACATATCTTCACCTATCACCCAGCTGACTGACTGTGACTCTTGTGTCGTATGCTGTTGACTATTCAGCAGTGAGTTGATCACCTGGACCTACCTGAAGGAAAGAAAATACAGTGTCTCAGACAGCATTTTAAGAGTCCTTTAAAACTGAACTGTTAAACCTGGTCTAGTGGGAGGTGTCCCTGCCTATGGCAGGGGGGTTGGAACTAGATGATCTTCAAGGTCCCTTCCAACCTAAACCATTCTGTGATTCTATGATTCTGTGTCTGCATCTAAGCCCTGTCTGCCTGCAGAGAGGGATACTACGCATATCTACGCAAAAGGGCTATGGCACACATGATATTACAAGGAATTACAAGACCCTTGAAGTTGAAGTGTTTGGGGTGTAGGATTCATCTTGCACATAGAAACCCTAATCCCATCTCAGGGCAGCTGTGCATCAAAACCAGTCCATAGATAAGTGTACGGCATCCACTGGTAACATTTAGAGCTGTGTGCCCTTCCCAAGAAGGGGGATTTTCCTCACAGTTATCTTCCCTTCCCCACTCCCTACCAAGAATATCCGGAGAATGTAAGTACAGCTTTCCTTTTCCCCCCATGGTAAGATTGCAATTATGGCTAAGTTCACAGCTCAACTCACTTATGACTGCAAATTGCTGATTAAGGGGAGATATGTGAAAGATGCTAACAAAAAATACAAGAAAAAATAGACTTTAAGAATATTACCATCAAAAGCCATGTATTACCCTGTGTTCCAATTAAAAAATATCACAACCAGCAGGCATTCCTACTCCAGCTCCCCCTGAAAGAGGCTACATTCATTTCTGCATGCCTGCTTTTCCCCTCGAAAGGCGGGCTACAAAATCCAATCCCATCCCAAAGCAATGCTTCCACGTGAAAACTGGGCCTCACT